TTCGCCGCCGCCACTGCAACGGCCGCCGCCGCCGCCTCCACCTTCTTCTGCCCCAGAGGCCGCTTCGCAGGGAAAGTTACATAACGCGCCGGCAAAGCCTTCTGGGAAACGTAGTCCCGCCGGGGCCGGTTCTTAAAGGGGACGGCTGAGGGGGACTCGTCGCTTCCCTGCCGCGCAACCCTTACCACTCCTCCAAAAGGGCAGGGAGTTGGGCGCGTTTCGGGGAGCTCGGGCACAAGCGTTGGGGATGAAGATGTGGTACCAAGGGTCAGAGGTACCACGAATCCAGAAATTGTAGGAGGAGGACATGTTTCCGAGCGTGTACATAGTTTCTGCTCGGACTTGCTGTGCAGCTTCGAGCACAAGTCTTGCCCTCTCTGAGACTGAGTTCCCCGCCCATCAAAGGTAAGCCAATGGCCAGTGAAGAAGGCAGGCGCTTCTGGGTTGGGGTGGAGGGTCCCTGATTGGATGGTTTCTGGGTAGGGGACGGGAAGTTGGCCATTTGATGGTATGGGGGGGGGGTGTCCACTTGGCACTTGGTTCTCCCCAGAATCCTGGGTATCAGCCCCTAAGCCGGCCCAGCATCAGCCGGGTAAGAAGAGAGGCCCGAAGGCCTCTGCCTCAGTTGCCTCCTCTGCTGGAGCGGTAAGCGCCCTCCAACGCTGTTCCAGCGATGACAGCGCGCTCTGGTGTCCAAAGGGTTACGACGTCCGTTTCTGCACCCGCCTCCAACTTTCACTACAATTCCCAAAATGCCCCGCGGATCGGACAAACTGACGCACTTCCGCTGTCTGGGAGGTCTGGGGAGGCCTTCCTATTCCCACAGACTGTCCTACCTCCGACACCCCCAGTCAATTTTGCGGGGGGTGGGTGGGGGTGCTTCTCCCTTGTTTTCGGGGCACGGAGTTGAGGGGATCACCACCTTCTACTGCTCCCCAATTGGAGTGAAGGGAAGGAGGCCCGAGATGGCGAGCAAGAGTGGGGGGCGGGGGGTGTCGTTTCTGGGACGGGCAAGTGCCAGACCACCTTTCAGCAACCTGAGTGCTTACTACCTGATAGGCCCAGCCCGGCTCTGGCGACCCCCATGTTTTTTCTTATAATTTTTTTTTTTATTGATTGCAGAGAGGAAGGGAGACAGAAATAGAAACATCAGTGATGAGAATCACGGATTGGCTGTCTCCAGCACGTCCCCTGCTGGGGATAAAGCCTGCAACCCAGCATGTGCCCTGATGGGGAATCAAACTGTGACCTCCTGGTTCATAGGTAACCGCTCAACCACTTCGTGTCGTTGGGAATCGTCCGAGGCAGGCGGATGTGAGGGCTGGGCAGGGAAGACAGGACTCTAAGTTCTAACCCCTATTAGCCTCTTCCTAAGCCTGGGTCCATGCTAAGGACACAACAATATTTTAATGTATTGTCAGCGTTGCATACTAAAGTGTTTTTCAAACTAATCAGGGGCTGCCTACCCCGCTCCCTCATCCAGCTGCAGGCATAGCAGCTGATTTTATGGTACCCACCTATAACTTGTAAAAAACGGACTTCTTGCCCAGCTGGCATGCTTCAGTGGCTGAGCAGTGCCGACCTATGAACCAGGAGGTCACAGTGTGACTCCCCATCAGGGCACTGGCTGAGGTTGTGGGCTTGATCCCTAGTGTGGGGCATGTGGGAGGCAGCCAATCAGTGACTCTTATCGTTGATGTTTCTCTCCCTCTCTGAAATTATATATATACCAGAGGCCTGATGCACGAAATTCGTGCAAGGGGCTCAGCCCTCACAGCCCCGCCTGCCCTGGCTGGCCTTTGCAGCCCCAGCTTGGTCCAGAAGGTCATCCTGATGGTTGTTCTGCTGTTCGGTCTAATTAGCATATTAGCTCTTTATTATATAGGATATATATTAATGGACTTCTTTGGAAAGGACTCCTTTTGCTTCAACCTAGGCAATGTTATGGGCACCATCATGGCCCTTATGTGCTAGCTACATTTTTACGTAAGTTAAAGGTGCATCTACAACTATTAAAAGGGCCAGCAGGTTATCACTGAAAATTGCATTTGGGTCATTCTCTAGTGGCAGACAAGAGTTCTGGCCAGATGCCAGCTTCAGGTGGACTGGATTGGCACCTGACAAGTTTAAGGCAAGTTCCTAAACTCAGAAAAAAAAAAATGGAGACCCCTAGCTTCTGCTTTTCACCGGCTACCTTCAGGTTAAGATGCAAACCTGCATGTGAATGCTAAGCTTGGTGCCAGGCCCAGAAATGAAGCATTGCAAGTGAAGTGTGTGTGTGTAAGCTGCCCATTATTTCAAAGATGCAACTCCACTTTAGCCTTGGGCAACGCTGAGGACACAGGAGTGACTGAGAGAGGCTCAGGCCTGGCCCTGACAAGGCTCAGCCTAGTGAGGGAGGTAGACTTTCCATTTAACTGTAGATGATTAACTTCATTAACTTCAGATGATTAACTTCATTTCTTGGCAACTGCTGGGGGCGGGGGGGGGGGGGGGGGGGCACATTGGGGGGGAGTGTCAGACAAGGCTTTCCTGAGGAGGTGCTATTGGAGCTAAGGCCTGGGAGATAAGTAGAATCCAGTTGTAGAAAATAAAGCCTCTTACATCAAAAGATGCCCATTGTACAGATGAGGAAAATGGAGGACCGTGGTTACACAGCTGCCCAGGGCGACACCAGGGGCGGAGCCAGGTCTGAATCCAAGGAGGTGGTTATTGCCGGCTTTGCTCCAGGCTCTGCAGGTTTCAGAGTAAGAAAATGAGCTCCTGGGACTCTCCCCTCTCCCCACGTGGGAGTCTGTGTCTGTTTCTCAATAAATTCCCACCTTTGCTATAAAAAACAAAATCAGCTCCTGCCTCCTGAACTATGGAGGAAACATGCCTTAAGTGTGTTTAACACGTCTTCACTTGGGGGCACTATAAGTAGCAGGCCCACCCTAGGCGGGGAGGGAATCCAGGATGCTTTCCTGGCGATGACAGTGCGGTGGCATCTGAAGGATGAGTAAGTAGGAATAAGAAGTGAACGCTGGCCTTGATGGTTTAAACAAAGGAAGGCTCCAGCCTCTAACTTCAAGGGTGTGTCGGCTGCTCCCGGGAGGGTGGGGCAGATATAGGGACTGAAATCCCAGGCCGGTCTCAGCCAGAGCCTCGAGTGATTGTATTAAAAATAAGTTTATTGATATCTTGTCACCACTGAGGAGAAAGGAGGGGGCTGAGTTCTGGAGGTCAGACTGCACTGGGAGGCAGAGGACCCAACCTATACCTTCCCTTGAGAACTCGCCCCCCCCTCCCCAGAATACAGACTGCTGTCCCCTCATTGTCATCCACGCTCTGATTTGTCTCGCAGCCCCCCACCCCCTCCCAAGTCTGGATTGGGAAGCAGGGAGGCCCCCCGACAGATCAGTTCTCTTCAAGTCAAGACCAGGAGTGATTAGGGAAGGGGGCGTGAGGTTCCCTCTGCAGCCCACTGAGGGCAATAAGAAATAACATAAAATTGATGGCTTAGAAGTCAGGGTTAAGGGAAGCAGCCAGGCAGACAGCGCTGTACTGGAGAAAGGGCTGGGGGGCCCATCAACGAGGGCCCCCGCGAATCAGGCACTAACTAGTACAGGGAGTGGGGTGCTCACGCCCCTGCAGCAGGGAGCCAGGGTGCAGCTGGCATGGGGAAGGTGCGTGGCCCTCCTCCGCTGGGCTAAGCTGGGAGCGGTGGTGCAGGCAGAAAGTGCAGACAAGCTTGAATCCAATGGTCGAATTCATGGAGATTTCCATCGCCCTCGCCTCTTCCGTGTAGGAAAACCTTTCCTCCTCTTGTGTGGGGGGGAGTCATGGGGAGGAGGAGGGGTTGGGGGTGGCCGGGGCGTCCCTTCCTCGCTTCTACGGGCAATGATCACCCCCCTGGCTGCCACCTTGGCCGGGTCCACGACAGCAGCCACCACAGACACTGGCTCTGGGGTGATCTCCACC